CCATAACACGACTCAACTCGCCGAGTCACCCCAAGACTCATCGAGTTCAATGATCTCTGAGTCCCTTCTTGTCCAACTCACTGAGTCATCACTCAACTCACTGATCTGCGTTTTAACCAGAAGAGGTTGGGGGGTTCTGCGACCCGACTCGTCGAGTCCAAGAATAGACTCGCCGAGTCCTAGACAATCTTCAACAGACTCGCCGAGTTGTTCACAACTCGTCAAGTTCCTGCCTATCTTCATCCAACTCGCCGAGTCCACCCATGTGACTCGCCGAGTAGCTTCAGCTCTTAATCCATACAGTGGCTTTTCGAGCCATGCAGGGGCTCCAAATTGTAGATCCACTCTTCTAAGGCCCATCTTTCACGTATAGTTGCAAACTTTACGTGAAACCAAGATGCTATAGGCTTAAAACATTCTAGGGCTTGGTTTTGTGACAAGCATACTTCACTAACACACCAAAGATTGCTGCTTTATGGGTTTCTAGGCCATGAAAACCCTAGATCCGAAGTTCTCTTTGCTCACAAAGGCATAATACACGAATTGGCCTTGGAAATGGCCCAAAATGACAAAATCTAATTAGGAAAGGAGATCTAAGTGAATAACAGCCAAGGTATGAGCTTCATACCTTTCTAGGATCTGAAATGACACACCAACACAGAGTCCACTGCTACTTCTTGAATCACCCAAAGACTTCCTTATAGCTTTAAATCACTAAAAAATGGCAAGAGAAGCTCAATGACACTCAATGGCTGCTTAAGGTTTCAAGTAAAGGTAGAGAGAGTGATGGAGGCTGGGGTGAAGGCCTGATATGATGCTTAAATAGGGCACTAAGCCCGGAAATTAGGGTTCCAACCCAGACCTGACTCGCCGAGTCGGTCCCTCCGACTCGCCGAGTCGGTCACCTAAACCCCGACACGGGTCCCACTCCAACTCGCCGAGTTCACCCATAGACTCGACGAGTTGACCCCTTTAACTTAGGGTTTTCCTTTCCATTCTTGGTCTTTCTGATTCTGGGTGTTACCAAATATAAATCTTAAAATATATAAACGAGTTGTTGTTCATTTGATGTTTATTTGTTCCACAAAGAGCAATATAAATAATCTAGTGCACACTGTCAATTTGGTTCATTGGATGCTTATTTGTTATGTTTTTTTAATGTTTATATAGTGATTAAGATGTTTTTGGAATTTTTTTACCTTAAAAAAAATATTATATAATGTTGGAGATTTTTACACCTTAAATAACATTATATGTGTAATATTAGTTTTAATTAAAAATGACTAAAATTTGTTGTTCAAAATAGTTTGTAAATTTTGTATAAATAACGTCAAAGCATTTATGCTAAACATAAATAATAAGAAAAAGTAAAAAATTGAAATATGAAAAAAAAAATTAACCGATATAAAAAAACAAAAAAAAAACTGATATTTAAAATATAAAATAAAGAGATAGTAAAAAACTGGAAAAAAAAGTACTTAAAGTAAAAAAATAATAATAAGAAAAATTAAAAAGTAGAAAAAAAATAATAAAAAAACACTAATTTGATAAATCTTTTTTAAAGAATAGTAGATCAGTAAATCATTTTTTTAATTATCCTATTTTGATGGTGGATCTTATATAGGGCTTGGTCCTCATGATTTGTTTGGTAAAGTAGTCTTTATACTTTAGTTTTATACATATTAGATCTAAAAATATAAAATTTTGATTATGACCCATTTTGTTCATCAATTTTTATATAAATTATATTTTCGGCTCTCAGATAAAAGATTGAAGATCCGCCAATTGATATATTGTATTATTACTTATTGGTTCTTCTTGTTTAATCAATATGATAATTACAATAAGTCATGAAAAATCTAGATCACCAATGTAACTAAAGTATGTCTAAGTTGAAAAGGATGTTTTGATTATAGGGCTGAACAAAAACCGAACCGTAAACCGAAACAACAAAAAAAAAAAACCGTATTAACCAAAACCGAAAATCTTTAACCGAAACAAAAACCGACGTTGCGGTTTTATTTTTACAAAAACTAAAAACTTTCAGTGTGTTGTGGTTTTTAGTTTTGCAAAAACCGCAAAAAACCGAATCGCGACACACACACACACACACACATATATATATATATATATATATATATATATATATATATATATATATATATATATATATATATATATATATATAATTTTAACTACCTATATATGCTTTGTTGAGTGTATTTATTCTAAAAGGATAAGTATCTCAAAGTAATCAATGTATAAATTCTTTTGATGAATAATTCATAACATATTTTATCTTAAAGCATAGCTACGATTAAAAACATAAAACCAATTAAAAGAAACAAATGGGAGGGTTTTGTGTAATTATTTAATTAGGTGATGTATATATATTTGTGTAATTAATTAAAAAACATAAATAATATAGATAAGAAAAAAAGAATGGTGTCCAACATTTAGGTTGGGAACTTGTCCCACATTGCCAGGAAAAGAATACAAAGGGTGAATGATTTATTATAAATAGCTCCGTATATGCACACAACTAAGCAAGTGTTGTATGAAGCCTGGTGTAGCCTGTGACCGGTCCTACCCAGTTGAGTTAGAAAATTAGTTTATTTTACTCTAAGTTGGTACTTTTGGACTCAGTTAAAAAATAAAATGGAACAAAACGGTAATTAATTATTATATATATATATATATATATATATATATATATATATATATATATATATTAAATTTCTCAACAAAAAGAATAGTAAGTTTATCATTTTTTTGGTAGAATTCGTCCATGCACTTTGCTTTTTATTTTTTTACTTATTTTGATACTTTTGGTTTTTACAATCAATATTTTTACATTTTTTAGGAATCTTTTAATATTTAAAGTTTTGTCACAAAACTTTAACGGTTTTACAACTTTGATCACTTTTCTAAAAATTTGCTATATGCTACCCCTTTAATTCTTTAGCTGTTTTGACACTTCTGATCCTTACAGTCAAAACTTTTACATTTTTTCATCAAAACTTGAAAAAAAAACGGTTCGGGGCAAAGTCCGGGTTTTTCATTCTTGCACTTTGTATGTCTATCATATTTATCGATTCGGAAAAAACATTAAAAGTTTTTTACCCCCGCATAACGGGGGTAACGTTTATAGTTGTAACAAAAGTCTAGAAATAAATTAAAGTCAACAAATTTATCTAAATTTTTAAATTAAAGTCAACAAAAAAATCTGATCTAGACATTAAAAACCATGTCATTTTAACCGCAAAATTGCACCAACTCATTTTGCGGTTAAAAACTAAAACCGCACCGAAATAACAGTAAAATAAAAAAAAAAAAAAAAAAAACCACAAAACCGAAACGCAAAAAAATATCACACATTTCGGTTTTTCAGTTTAAATAACTGCAAATGCGGTTTGCGGTTGCGGTTTGATCCAAAAATTGCACCGAACCATATCATGTTCAGCCCTGATTAGTATTAAGGTGAAAATTGAGTAATTGAAATTAGAGTAAAAGGGTGTTTGAGATTATTTTTGAGTATCAAAAGTCATTTTTACAGAAGGATTTTTTGTAAAATGATTTTTTGCAAAAAAAGATCCTTAAAAAGTGTTTGGATTGATAAAAAGACTTTTAACTTAATTTTTATAGGTAAAACAATAAAAAGTCATAAAAAAGTCAGATTTTGTAACTTTTAAAAACTTTTTTATTTTCTTATTTGTCAAAAGTTATTTCAAAAGCTTTTTTGAATTATCCAAATACCTTTTGACATTTTTTTATTATTTTTTTAAAATTTAAAAACCAAAAGTTAATTTAAAAGCAACCCCAAAACACCTTCTAAATTATGAAAATAGTTTACCGTGCTTTCCAAAATATTAAATAGTTTACGTGCTTTCCAAAACGTTTAGTTGCTGCCTTTTAGTTCATATTTTGATTTTTCTTTTTGTTAAATAATAAAAGATTTATTTAAAGGTCGCTGGTGTTTGTTGATTAATAAAGTCTCTTAAGAATATAAAAATAAAAGAGTAAAAAAAATTGTAAAAAGTATTCATTATTCCATTTCTCTTTCTATTTAATAAATTCTATAAATGGTCCCTGTGGTTGTCAAATTTCTGCATTTTTGGTCCAAAAAAGTTTAGTGGTGTATCAGCAGTCCAACTTTGGATACTTTGTGTGGTTTTGATCATTATGGTTGACATTTATATGTAATTTTGGTCCATACTCCACCTGAAATGACAAATCTGCCCTTAAATAATTTACTTTTTAATTTAATTTAATTTAATTTCTAATTATTTTAATTAAAAAAATAAAATAAAAAACAAACCACCCTCTCTCTCTCTCTCTCTCTCTCTCTCTCTCTCTCTCTCTCTCTCTCTCTCTCTCTCTCTCTCTCTCTCTCTCTCTCTCTCTCTCTCTCTCCTGTTATTATGTTCTTCACCCCCATGACCCATATCCTTGTTCCCAAACTAAAGTCGTTTTGATTCGTACAGAAATGTGAATGAAATTTTTTGCCAATTTTGGATTTGGAATCTGTTTAGTGTTTACGAATCAGAATCAACCCCTTATTCTCCATATTCAAATCTCCATAGAACCGACCACCCGTCTTCATCAATCTTTCTCAAACCCTAACCCTAGCAATGACGATTCTCTCCGCTCCTGATAATCGAAGACCCACATGCCTCTCTCCACCCCGTGCTTGTGAAAACCTCCTACCCTTAGCAAACTACCGTGACGATGGATTGTGACCCAGATGTAAATTCAAGCGATGCTGCCTACTTACCACTACCCCTTCGTCTTCTATGATAGCTCTAGATGTTCGTTTCCATATCTGCAAAAGAGAGCAGCATACTTGATCTGTTCTTTAAACTTGTCGATCTACAAATTTAAACCCGAGGAAGAAGAAAGAGGTGATAAAACCCTTCAAATCGAATTCGTCTTTTATAAACCATCGATTATCTGGTGTTTTAGGTCTTCTCGGAGGGAGAGGCAGTTAGAAAAAAAGTCTGATGAACGATGTTTGGTGGTCGGTGGTGAAGGATCGTCTCGTTAACGAAGAAAAGTTGAGGGTGGGGGGAGATGGAGGTGGTTGTCGGCGAATAGTGGTGGAGAACGGTGATGATGGTAAATGACGATGGCGTCATCTTATGTGACGGTGGTGGTGGCGGCTAAAAACCCAAATCATTGAAAGATCGAGGTGGCAATATTTAGGTAGGGACAACTCCGATCAAAAGGGTGGTGTCGGTGGGGAAGTTTCATCGAGGTCTGAGGAAAGAAAGATGGTGGTGAGGGTGGGATTAGATGTTTGTAGTGGACGGTGGTGGTAGTCGGTGATGATGTTGGCGAACGGTGGTAGCTGTCAATGATGGCAGTCAGCAGTGATGGTAGCGGACAATGGTAGCTGTTGGTGGTTGCAGTCGGTGGTGATGGTGGCATCCATTAGGGGTGGTATATTTCTTGTATGTGTATGTGTGTGTTTTTGAGAGAGAAAAAACAAATAAAATATAAATAAAAAATATAAATTAAATTAATTTATGTATTTTAGCAATTAAAAAAATGAAAAATATAAATTATAAGGGCATAATCGTCTTTTTAAGTGTATAGGGACCAAAAACAATAAAAAGATCTAAAATCGGACCATTGTTGCACCAAGATATCGTTTTGGACCAAAATCACATAAATTTGTCAACCACACGGACCATATTTGCAATTTTGTCTTCTATAAAACAAGAATTTAGCAACATCCTATATTATTTAAAACACACAAAAATTTAAAAGAACTAGATTTACATCATCAGACGTTATAATAAATGAATTTTTGTTTTGTTAAATTTATTATAAGCAGTTCTAATCCAATCGTCTTTATCACCTTCTACCCAGAACGATTTGCCCCTGTTATTCGGCAACGATGAGTTTCACTCCTAATCGTTTTCTTGAAACAAACTTCTTCAATAAACTATTCGTATTTCCAATCTGCTTTGATCACTGATTTTTTGAGGTTAGAGTGATTACAAATACAGGTATGCAATGCTTTTCACTATTCTAAATGTCATTTCAGTTTAATGTCTTTTGCTTGTGTTGTTATGGTTGGAGTTGACATGTTTCCTTCAGTTTGAAAAAAAAACCCGAATCTGGAATCTGGATTGATATCAAAATATTGTTCAAATTCCCTACAATTTGTTTCTTCTCATCTTTGTTTAATTCTCTACTTAAAAATCGGAGTTCACTTATCAATTAAAATGTTAGAATATCACATTTTTCTCGCATGCACGGTAGATGTTCGATAAAATGCCTGAACTAAATTTTGTCCTTTGTAGGTTGAAAATGGTCGTTTCACCCAGATTCTGCACTAGGATCACACCAACAGATTCTTCAATGTTAAGAACCATTACAACAGTTTTTCTAACAATTAGACATTATCATTTCAACACGGATCAAACCCACAAATTCCCAAACCCATTTCCTTCAACTCAAGGCAATGGTCGAAACATTGTCGCTGTTTTCTGGGACTTAGACAACAAACCTCCAAAATCAGTATCCCCATTTGATGCTGCCATTAGGCTAAAAAAAGCAGCCGAATCATTAGGAATTGTTCGATACAAGATAGCTTATGCTAATCAAAGATCTTTCGATTACATCCCCCCTAAAGTTAAACTACATAGAAAAGATAGAAAAACATTAAATCAACTAGAAAACAAAGGCATTACAAAACCTATCGATCCATACATATGTCGTGTTTGTGGGAGAAAGTTTTACACCAACGAAAAACTTATAAACCATTTTAAACAAATCCACGAACGCGAACATGCAAAACGTGTGAGTCAAATCGAATCAAGTAAAGGAAGTCAAAGGGTCAAACTAGTGGGAAAGTATTCGATGAAAATGGAAAAGTATAGTAACGCTGCAAGAGATATTTTGACTCCAAAAGTTGGGTATGGATTGGGAGACGAGTTAAAGCGTGCGGGGTATTGGGTTAGAACCGTTTCAAACAAACCACAGTCTGCTGACGTGGCGTTGAGGGATCACATGGTGGATATGATGGATAGGAGAATGATGGAGTGTTTGGTGCTTGTGTCAGATGATTCGGACTTTGTGGAGGTTTTGGAGGAGGCGAGGTTGAGATGTTTGAAAACGGTGGTTGTTGGTGATTGTAAAGGTGGGGTTCTTAAGAGGGTTTCTGATGCGTGTTTTTCGTGGGAGGAGATAATTATGGGAAAGGCTAAGAAGGAAGGGGCTTCGGTTGTGGGGAAGTGGAAAGATGGTGACATTTTGAAAAGGTTGGAGTGGAGATATAATCATGAAAGAGAGAGGAAATTGTATGATTCGGATGGGAGTGATTTAGTTGGTGGGGAAGATGATGGAGGTAAAGTGGATGAAAGTCGTGCTTGGTGGAAGCTTGAGTCGGATTCAGATGTTGCATCTTTGTAATTGTACGGTATGAGTGTATGATCCGTGAAATTAGTCATTAAACTCGATAGGTTGGTTTTTAAAGGGTTAAATGTAAGAAATAATAGTGTATTTTTGTTTATTTGTTTATTATAGTATCTTACTTTTGTTTTTCTCTATTATAGCATTGTACTTATATTTTTTTTATTAGGAAATTGTAATTCTGTGATTATTTTGGATTGGTGGTCAATTGTGGTCAATTGTCTATGATCTTAGAGATGTAATATTATCTTTTACTTGTTTTGTATCTTGTGTGACTACTATATATGTAATAAATGTTTGAGTTTAAACTTTAAATTAGACAAAGTTACAAAAATGGTCCTTATGGTTTATCAAAAATCACAAAATCAGTCATTGCTAATTTTTTTATGCAAATGGTCCTTGTGGTTTGCAAAACTTACACAGATGATCCTTTTTACTAACTCTGTTAGTATTCAGCCGTTAAGATAAAGACATTTTCGTTTTTTTAGGTATAAAGGAACTAAATTCGTGATAATAAGTAGAACATTATTAAATGGCCAAAGCCTTAACCAATTGGGCTCCATGTATATTTGGATTATACATACAAATACTAATTTATATAATAAGTAGAAGGTTAAAACATAAGAATAAATAAATTACAAAACACATTTTTTTATGTATTTTTTTTTTATAAAACAAAATGTATTTCCATATTATAAAAAAATTACAAACAATTTTTATGCATTTTTATGTATTTATTTTACATAAAAATGTATTTTTTTTCTTTAAAAAGTACGGTTTCGTAATTTTTTTTTTGTAATATATATATATATATATATATATATATATATATATATATATATATATATATATATATATATATATATAATACGTTTTCGTATTTAAAAACGTATTTCATAAAATATATTTTTTTATATATTTGAAAAATATGTTTTTGTATAACAAATACGTTTTTGTAAAATATATTTTTTATGTCTTTGAAATAATAATAAATAACACTACTCATGACATAAAAAAATGTATAAATTCTTTTGGATCGATAGTTCTAAAACCGGTGTTAATTATTATTATTATTTTACGAAATACATTTTTTTTATCCTTCGTAAAATATTTTTTTATATCTTTAAAATATACGTTATTGTATAACACTATTCTTGATATAAAAAAAATGTATAAATTCTTTTGGATCGATAGCTTTAAAACCGGTGTTAATTAATATTATTATTTCAAACACATAAAAAAATGTATTTTATAAAAATGTATTTATTATACAAAGACGTATTTTTTAAAGACATAAAAAAAATATTTTATGAAAACGTATTTTTTAAAGATATACAAAATATATATACTTTATGAAAATGTATTTTTTATACAAAATCGCATTTTTTAAAGATAAAAAATATATTTTTATGTATAATAAATACATAAAAATGCATATAAATTGTTTGTAATTTTTTTTTATAATACGAAAATACATTTTCCTCTATTTAAAAAAAAATATGTAAAAAATGTGTTTTGTAATTGATTTATTGCTTATGTTTTAACGTTCTACTTATTATATAAATTAGTAATTGGAACATATAAACCAAATATACATACAACCCAACTGGTTAAGGCTTTGATCATTTAATAGGTGGAGGTCTTAGGTTCGATCTTTCCTCCCATCCTTAACTCATACAATTATTTTTTTCAAACAAATTTCAAAAATGATCTCTTTGGTTTACCATATATCACGAATTTAGTTCATTTATACTTGAAAAGACGAAAATGACCTTACCTTAACGGCTGAATGCTAACGGTGTTAGTAAAAAGAGTCATCTGTGAAAGTCTTGCAAACCACAACGACCATTTGCTTAAAAAAAAAAATTAACAGAGAGTGACTTTGTGACTTTTGGTAAACCACAGGGACCATTTTTGTAATTTTGTCTTTAAATTATTAATGAAATTGTGATCTAACATTATGTACTCTTTATACCATAAAATGTTAATTATTTATTATTAAAAATTTAATTCCCACAAATTTCCTGAATGGTCACTATAATTTCAAAAACTTGCAACTTAAAAATAGTGTTGTCGATGATACACCATGATCTTCGTGGTTTCAAAATCAAGCACGATCCATCCTTATGTATCACTTGATTAAAAAAAATATTAATTTAGACTGACCGGTTCGGATCTCATGAGAACTCAAAAAATAGTGAAGACTGCGAAAACAAATCTCGATCACCCATGTTGTCAATGACACAAACATCAAAAACAATCTTTGGAAGTGATGTAATTGCATGTTTCTATCGTCCTTAGAACGTAATATAAACTCCAAAATACGATCATCGGTTACAACTTACACACGTCCATATATCATTACTTGGTGCATTTTTCTTTCATTTTTTTAATGTAGTTAAACTTGAAATTACCTTTTATTATTATTTTTTATGATTTTTATGTTTATTTTTTTATTATTGTTGTGTTTTTTTCGTTTTGAATGATATTTTTATTATATTTTCATTCTTATTATATTTAATGATTTTAGTAAATCTTTAAAGTTTTTAAAGTTTATTTATTTATTTTGAAGTATTAGTCGGTTCAAATTTTGAAGTTCGACAATAATAAACCTTTTGATTCTTAAGAGAACGAGAATCATAATATTCTTGGATCATATTATTTTATTATTTTATGTCAAAATATTTTTTTTAGATCATATCATTTTGAATCATTCTATTTTGAATCAAATGATTTTTTATCATAATATATTTAATTAAATTAATATGTTGTTCATAACAAATTTTGAATCATTACATTTTTGAATCATTTAACTTTAATGCATAAAAATACGATTCACAATCATAATAAATTGAGCATTATAAACAAACATGTTGAATTACAACCATATTTCAAAATAATGTGTGATAGTTAAACAACCATATTATTTTTTAAAATTTAATGCCCAAAAGTTCAAAATATTTGATATATAACAAACATTTAGAACCATTTTTATTAGTAGAATGAAATTTTCATGTCTTGTTTTTCTAATAAAAACTTAAATTCATTAAAAAAAAATGTGGTACCCTTAAAAATGATACTTCATTAAAAAAAGTCGTTGTAATTTATATGAATTCAAAATGCTATAAACTTAAATTTCATGGTGGATCTAGTTATAACCGTTTGTCATTTGACGATTTACATTATATAACTCTAACTCCATATGTAAACAGAAAACCACTGATTGGCTTAAAATTTTATATGTTAGATATGTAATTTGCATTGCTATACATTTCTATCACAATACTCTTGTAATACTCTTCAAATTTTTATCACTCCGATAATGATATATCTGCTTAATATGCTTATCGAAAAAACTACGATGGTTCTAATATAATTTAGAAGGTACATCGAACTACCAATAACTCTTGCATATTCTACTTGTGTAACTCTTTCACCTCTGTATTTACTCATGTGATGATTTATATCAACTGGTGTTTTAGCTACATTAGAATCACTAAAGCTTAACTTCAAAAAAACTTTTTCCTCATAATAAGTTTGACTTAATGTAAGTCCATTTAGAGTTCTTCTGATCTCATGGGGGACCCCACCATCCAAATAGACAAATTCGAATGGAAATGCCCATATACATAATTTCAAATACATTATATATCCATAAAGAAAACAAGATCATATTGCACAATTCTAGCGATCTAAAGCATGCCTAGTAAAATCCCATAAATTTTGGTGTAACACCCATGTTTCCAATATGTTTTTTGATTAATTAAGTTTGAAATTTTTATGTTTTTAGGATTTTCTATAAGTAGTGTTGCGACTACTTGAGGGGCATGACACGATAAAGTAGCAAGTCTACCCTTAATGAAGATCGCAGACCTATAAGACAGATAGGCCAAACCCTAAAGGCCTTGGGATTTGGGCCTATTTAAGGACACAATTTCCTAGGTTTTGTCATTTTCACCCTCGAACTCCAGAAAATATTTTCTAACCCAAACCCTAGCCTCTTTTGGTGCTTTATGTTCTTATTGCTTCCTTTTTGTCATTTTGAAGAAGTAGAGTACATTTTAGTGTTGAAGGAAGCAAGCTACTGAAGTTTTCTACCTTCTTTTTGCCTCTCATAGCTTTGTAAATCTCCAAAATCCAATGTTAATTGTTTTTACAAGCTAGGTCTAGGTTATTGGTGGGTTATAGTATTTTTGGTCCCATAATCTTAGTGATATTAGAGTTTAAGGAAATCCAGAGCTTAATGATGATACTTAGATGCTTCTAGAACTTTGATGTTAGATAAAAAAAAAAAGGGTGTTTGTGTGCTTTCTTTGAGCCATGAACTTGGATTTGGCACTTTTATTGAGTTTTTGGACTTAGGGTTTTGGTTTGTGAGTGATTAAGCCTTGGTTATGCATAAAATTGGAAAATTTATCCAATAATTCCTTTATAAGGTTTAGATCTGAAAATTAGACCTCTATACTAAAGAGATTAAGTGCTTAAGGAGAAGGTTGTTAAGACAACTTGCACGACACGACTGGTTTGCGGCTCGTGACACGACCAATTTAGGGTTATCGAGATGATCTTTTTGTAGATTTGTAGGGGTTTTAATACATCGATACACATTAGATAAGAACAACAAAATAAGAAGACAAGCCATATATGCACATGCACCCTAGGATCTAAGTTTTACTATAACAACCTACTTTGAAATTAAACTAAAGAAAGGTAAGAACACTAACCTCTTGGTATTTTGATTAAGACCATTTAATTAACAATCCCTCAAAGTGTAACATCCCAAATTTATGACCAAAAAATTGATTTTTTATAATTACATAATTATAAAAACTAGTAGTCATAATCAAAACCAAAATCTCAATAACAAATATCTGAATAACCAAAACATGCCATAAGAAAACAACATCAGAGTACAACTCCAAAAGATCATGTGTGGAAGATCATAGTGTGATGCGATGCGATCATGCTGGCTCCTTTCCTTTCGAAGTAGAGGTACCGGAAACTAAAACTCAAATCCGTAAGCACGAAGCTTAGTGAGTTCCCCCATCATACCACATACCATACAATAAACATACTGCCTAGCATATCCGGGTGCTGGCCTTCCCCTTCGATCTCTTTCAACCGGATACTACCGAGCATATATGGGTGCCGGCCTACCCATTCGGTCTCTTTCAACCGGATACCACCTAGCATATCTGGGTGCTGGCATATCC